CACTTTTGTTTTATTTTTCTTAATTTTGGTCCATCTTTGACCTGTGGAAACCCTTCTGAATCTTCATTTGTTCTGCCCATCAAAGAATGGGTGTTTCTTTCAATCTCTGGGCTAAACTAGCTTAGATGGACTTTTCTTCTGAGTCTTCGTTCCAGTTGAACATACAGAGTCAAGTATGACACGGTACTCTTTCCAGGTGGATGGCAATCTGTTGATTGACACATTTTTGGGGGGGAGACTTGTCTTGAGTGATCCTAATTTCATTGGACCCCCAGAGCCTCGGGTAAGCCAAGCTCACGGGCAAAGATGGATACTCTCATTGCCCTGCCCCGGGGTCTACCCTTTCCAACTCTTCTTGCTTTCCTGCTGACTGTCAGTTGAACCACATGCCATTTGGTGGCCTTTGGCGTCTCCCCAATTTATTAGGCTTTGGGTGGCTTGGTTCTGGGACCTTCCTGTAGCATCCTCACTGCTTCAGAGAATGCACAGCGGGGGTCGGTGCTGTTTACCTCTTGTTTGCTTTCGTTCTCACTGCCTCTCTTGAGGCTTCATGCCCAGCACTGGGGACTGGCTTTGTCTCTAGCAGTAAATGCATTTCTCTCTACCCACCGTGGGTAACCTGGATCTGTGCTGACCACGCGGCAGTAGACGCGGTCTTTATTTTTAAAGTTGTTTAGTTCCTTTCACCATGTTACTTGCAACACATTCACAAGGGGCAGAACAGAGGGCAGCTGAGGAGTGCTGTCTAGGACCATGACAGCCACAGCTGGAGCCACAAGCCGGACGTCTGGCCAGTGCTGAGGAACGTGGAGCCTTCCAAGCTCAGGGAGAATGCCTTGCCTTGTGAGTTTCACGGACACGGTAAGGAGTTAGGGCATCTGGTCTCTTTTCTTTTTCCTTTTTTTAATTTAAAATTTTAATTCTAGTGTAGTTAACATACAGTGTTGTGTCAGTTTCAGGTGTACAATCTAGTGATTCAACAATTTTATGCATGACTCAGTGCTTATCACAATAAGTGTCATCTTGGTCCCCAGCCCCTATTTCACCCATGACTCCATCTCCCTGATAGCCATTAGTGTGTTCTCTATGGTTAGGGATTTATTTCTTGGTTTGTCTCGTTTTTCCCCTTTGCTCATTTACTTTGTTTCTTAAATTCCACATATGAGTGAAATTATATGGTATTTGTCTTTCTCTGACTTATTTCACTTAGCATTATGCTCTCCAGATGCATCCATGTTCTTGCAAATGGCAAGATGTCATTTTTTTTTATGGCTGAATATATTATATATATATAATCTATATAATATATATATATATATATATAATCTTCTTAATCCATTAATTAGATTCATTAGTCGATGGGCACTTGGGCTCTTTCCATATCTTGTCTATTGTAAATAATGATGCTATAAACATAGAGGTGCACTTATCTTTTCAAATTAGTGTTTTTGTTTTCTTTGGGTAAATACCTAGCAGTGGAATTACTGGGTCATACAGTCGTTCTAGTATTAATTTTTTGAGGAACCTCCATGCTATTTTCCCACAGTGGTTGCACCTGTTTGCATTCCCACCAGCAGTGACCGAGGGTTCCTTTTGCTCTGCCCTCGCCAACACTTATTATATCTTGTGAGTTCGAGTCTAGCCATTCTGATGGGTGTGAGGTGATAGCTCCTAATTGTCCTAGCTACCTTTTAAGATACCCTGATTTAAATTACATTCCTAGTTGGGGCGCCTGGATGGCTTAGTCGGTTAAGCGTCCGACTTTCGCTCAGGTCATGATCTCGCAGTTCATGGGTTCGAGCCCCGCGTCGGGCTCTGTGCTGACTGCCAGCTCAGAGCCTGGAGCCTGTTTCAGTCTGTGACTCCCTCTCTCTCTGACCCTCCCCTGCTCACGCTGTCTCTCTCTCTCTCCTAGAAATAAATAAAAATATTAAAAAAAATAAATTACATTCCTAGCATCTTCGAACCTGGCCAGTGGCTATTTAGGTTAATAAGGACAAAGTTTGTGATTTCTGAACAGCTACATGCAAGGCACGATTTTGATTGGATCCCAGGCCAGGAAAAAGTTGCTTGTGAAATATGGAGCAACACTGCACTCCTCATCTGCCCTTGACCTCCACTGTGTCTTTCACTCCCCTTCTACCTGTAGATTAGATAAGAGTATTTTATCAATGTGAAAGTTCCTGAATGTAATAATTGCATTGCCATTATATTAAAGAATGTCCTTTTTTTTCTCAGAAAATGTACACGGAGGTGTTCGGGGATAGAGGGATATGATGTGCACACTTTAATAGGGTTTAGCAGATGGAGAAGGATAAAGTGAACACAGCAAAACGTTAGCAATTTGTGAGTTTGGGTGAAGGCTACCGGAGCTCTTTGTACTATTCTTGCCCTTTAAAAATTATTTACAAATAAAAAGTCATTCCTAAGATTATGAAATCTGCTCTTAGACGCACTATGCACAGAAGCCACAGGCCACCGAGAGCCCGAGCCCGGACCGCAGTGGGGGGCGATACCTCCTTTTTTCAGTCATCCCTCTCCTTCCTCTTTCTCTTTCATCCCCCCCCCACCTTCTTTCTCCTCTTATATAAATGTGGACACGCCTGAAGGCTGCTTTGTTTGCTTTTTCTCTTTCTTGGGGCTCTCAAGTCTGCTCATGGCTTCTCTGGCATTCACCAGTTGCATTTGGACACGATGGTGATGGGCGCTTGGGTGGGCTGCAAATGTTCAATTCACGGTAGTGGGGATACAGCAGGTGCCCAGAGGGTGCTTCTGATCTGAGTGTTAAAGGAACCATGGGCGTTAAGTGAAATTGGAGATCCTCACTTCCTCTCTGTGCCCACACTCCTACTGAGCAGACTGGTTTTGATTTTCATCACGTTCAAATCCGGTGCCCTTGGTAGGTCAGTAGGAACTTCTAAGTGGAAATCCAATAGGCAGTTTTCCAGCTTGGTCAGATCAACCTTTTTGGAAGCTGTGTGACTTGGGGTAAGAGTACCCGTGAAAATTTACATAAGAGCACATAATGGCCGACTCTGCTTCAAGCACTTTACATATAATTCCTAATTTATTTCTCTCCACAACCCTATCGGTTCGTCTCTGTCTCTGTCTGTTTGGGCCACTGTAACGAAAGACCACAACCTGGATGGCTTATCAACAACAGAGACTTATCTACCAGTTCTAGAGGCTGGGAAGTTCAAGATCAAGGTTTCAGCATGGTTATGTTCTGGTGAAAGCCTTCTGGGTTGTAGACTGCAGGCTTCTCACTCTGTCCTCACAGGCTGGGAAGAGACAAGGGAGCTCTTTGCTTTGGAGCCTCTTTTCTTTTCTTTTCTTTTCTTTTCTTTTCTTTTCTTTTCTTTTCTTTTCTTTCTTTCTTTCTTTCTTTCTTTCTTTCTTTCTTTCTTTCTTTCTTTCTTATTAATTAATTTATTTTTAAATTGATGTGCAATTTTGTTAGCATCTAGTGCAATAATGATTTCCAGTGATTCATCCCCTATGTATAACATCCAGTGCTCATCCCAACAAATGTCTTCCTCAATGCCCCTCACCCATTTAGCCATTCCCCCACCCACAACCCCTCTAGCAACCCTTAGTTTGTTCTCTATATTTAAGAGTCTCTTATGTTTTTGTCCCCCTCCCTGTTTTTCTGTTCTTTTTGCTTCCCTTCCCCTGTTCATCTGTTTTATATCCTAAATTTGACATGTGAGTAAAGTCATATGGTGTTTGTCTTTCTCTGACTAATTTCGCTTAGCATAATACCGTCTAATTCCATCCACGTCTTGCAAGTTGGAGCCTCTTTTCTAGGAGCACTAATTCCCTTCTTGAGGACTCCACCTTTAAGATCTGGCCACTCCCTAAAGGCCCCACCTACTCATACCATTCCCTTGGGGGTTAGGTTTCAACATATGAAGTTTGGGGGAACACAGGCATTCAGAGCCTAGCATTATGATTTCCGTTTCACAACAAGAAACTGAGGCAGGAGACGTTAAGTTAGGAGCCTAATGTAGTAGGTGCTCATGCCAGAAATGAAGCCTGGGAATCCGCACACTCACCTAACACATTACACTGCACAGGAAGTGCTCACGGCTCTCTGGTACACGGTGGCCATCGCTGCTATTACCAGCTCCCTGGACCTTCAGGTCTGGGCGGGATGGTCTAGCCCTGGGCTGTCCATCATGGCATCCTCTAACCACGCGTGGTTTTGAGCCCTTGAGGTGTGGTGAGTGCAAACTGAGATGTGCTTTAGGTGTAATATACATGTCAGATTTTGAAGATTTCACTTGCACACAAAGAAATAAAATGTAAATAAACACTCCAGGATAAGAGTCATAGCAAAAATTGTAGATAGAGCAAATTATGGCAGACAATAACGTGCACCTTCAAGTAAATATCTTGATAGTTAAAAAAAAATTTCTGGATCCAGTAGCATAAATAAGAATATATTAGCAACACTAATATCACATTAAAAATTTCACGCTAAAAAAATGTATTTATTAGAAGATCTAGAATTGCCCATGTGGCTCGCGTTGAGTTTTCATTGTTCAGTTGTCCGCTTAGAGACTGGAGAGCGAGCATGAAGCCAGGGGCTCAGGGGCAGCAGAAAAGTTGGGGGGGGGGCGTTGGCGTGAGAGACTCCAGGGACCCACACAACTGCCAGCACATTCACACACCCCCTCCCCTCACTGAGAGTGAGGGCCACAGAGGAAGGAGGCTCTGTGGAACCTCTTCCGTTCACTGTAATTGCCCCAAATTCTGGGTGAGCAGACATGGCCCGCGACCAGAGATTCAAGGGAGCCAGCAGGCACCACATCGCCCATCTTCCCCCATTAGGGGAAAGCTACTTCCGGTTGCAATGGAAGCCCCACCTCCGCGCGTGAGGCCCCGCCTCCCTACTCTCACCACGCAGGCGCAGTGGAAGCCCCACCTCCGCGCGTGAGGCCCCACCTCCCTACTCTCACCACGCAGGCGCAGTGGAAGCCCCACCCCCGAGCGTGAGGCCCCACCTCCCTACTCTCAGCACGCAGGCGCTGCTGCTGCCTCTCGTGGATTTTTTTCTTTTTTTCCTGGAAGCCCTGTTGTTTCCAGGAGACTTGTAGTTTTTGGAAAACAGTTGCCTCAGAACTTACCTGTCTGTCTGACGGTTTAGGCTGCGCTCCCAGGGCTGGAGGCAGGGCAGGGGACTCCCGTCGCTTGCGGTAGGCTCCTGCCGGAGTAGCGGCGGCGGCGGTGTCCTGTGAACGCCTCAGGACGGCCGACACCTGCCTCTCCCTGTGCTGGCCTCGGGGAATCCCACCGGCGTCGTCTTCGCTCTCCATTTCCTTCCAGCTCTTTGTCCAGTCAGTCAGCAGCTCCCTGGACTGTGCCTTTTAGAGAGCTGGGGGGCCTCCGCACTTGCCTCCCCTCCTGGTCTAGGTCACCTGGCCCGTTGGAAGGGTCTTCACGTTTTCAGTCTGAGCTGCATGACAGCAAGCAGTCTGCCGCCCAGCGGGTGCCCTTTCTGAAGTGCGCACCTGATAGAGTCACCTGGCGCTGTGTCCGTGAAGTTCAGGCTCCCACGTATGTACGGCCCCTGGCAGGACTTTTATCAGCTGGCTCCTCCTTGCCCCTTCGGTCCCACTGACCATGCCTCTCCGTCTCCCACCTTACAGTTCAGCCACCTACGTCTTCCTGGTTTTCTGCCTAAAATGTACCCTCCGTTAGTACTACCTCTGACCCCATCCCCCTACCTCTACCCCAGGAATTTTGTCTGGCAAGCTTACTCTCTCCTCAGGTCTCAGTGTAGCTATAAACTGACTCATCCCCTCTGCTTTTCCCCCATAAGAGCACTTCGCATCCTCCTCTATGGGCTGATTGTGAGCACGGACTGCTGTTGATCTCCATTTACCTCTCTAACACTACGGAAGTGCCAAGGAAAGAGAAGTTACCTAGTAAGTATTTGTTACTTACACGAATGGGTTCAACACAGCTGGCTGTTGCCAGAGGGCAGCTAATATTCACACCAAGAGGACTTTAAGGCCTGTGTAGATATTGACACTCGGGTCCGCCTGATTTCCAACTTCTTATAAAAAAGTAACACTGTCAAGGTCAAGGGCATTAACAGTCTAAAGTCCAAATGCCTTTTCTTCTTGGCCAGTTGATGAAACGTTCATCTCTCCAACCCCCAGAATCATTCCTCGCTCCCATTTTGCTCATTTTTCAAAGGGGCCAGACTAAGACTGTGTCAGTGGAGGTGAGACGGGGGGAGAGCTGGGCACAAATGCTTTCTGCCTGGCTGTGGAGCGTGAAGTAACTTTTTAAAATTGTTAACTACTTCATACTTTTAATCAGCTTACTCTTTTCAAGCATCATTCCCAGATTAAATATGAGTCATTTTGGGGGCCCAAGATACCCTTCTGAATGAATGACTGAACGTAGCTGTGAAATGTGTTCTCAAGGAGCCACTTGTAAATTTCCACGCGCCGCTGTTATTCTAAGTCCGATGAAGGGAGTCCACCAGTTACCCCATGTGCACAAGAAAGGATTATCTAGAATCTAATTTTATCTCTAAATCTGTAAACAGCCAAGTGGCACTATTTATTATTTTACATAAACCAACCCCAAGACCAAATTCTCTTTTAAATGTGTCCTTCAATCTTTTCCAACACTGCTTACAAAACCTCAATAGCTTGAAATAGTTCGGTGGTCTCTGCCTTTGGGGAAGGAGAGAGGGGCTGCAAGAAGGAGGGAAGAGGAGGGTGGTCTTGAGAGGGATGAGGGAACCCCTCTCTGGCACCGCAGTCCAACAACGTGCTGGCCACATGAACCAGAACATCGGGATGAAGGGGGAAGTCAGTGGCTGGCCTCTTCTCAACTTGGCCAGATGCCTTTTTCTATTCCCATTTAAGATGTCCTTTGGTAAATGGGAACGTGGAGGCCTGCATCAGTCACCATTAGAAAAATTTGTGCAGGAACTTATTCCCTAGTGACTTGACGCGCAGAGTGGCCGGTATCCATGGGTCCTTAATCAGCATTAGTGAGAGACCAGGGCACTGATGAAGATGGATGCCGAATGAACGCTATGCTTCCTGTAGCTCCGTGGAAAGGACATGGCATTGAGCATAGTGGCGACATGGAAAATCCACTTTCTCCTCCCAGACATATTTTTACCAATATAATATTATAATATGATTCTCTCTTGTTTATCCCCTTATTTTTTATAGTTAAAATTTTAATTTGGTGTTTAAATGTAATTTGAGTACTGCCTAGAGCTCTCTAGAGGCAAGGTGATATCAATTCTGCAGACAGAAAAACTGTAATTTTCACATGGCGTATGATGGCGGCCAGGGATGCGCTGTGCCTTGTGACTGGGCATCTATAAAGTTCCCACCATCAGCTTCAAAAGCACCATCATGAGCGTCTGAGAAACCGATAAAAATAAATGTTTCCCTCCTTCCAAATTCAGTTACCAGAGTGGAAAATCAACTTGTTATCTTTTCTTGCCATACTTTATAGGATGAAAATCTGGTCTTTAAAAAATATTTAGGAGTAAATAGCCTGGTTTCTTCTTTCTATTCAGCTAGGGGCTGAATTTCTGGGCAGGTAAGTCAGCTGTAAAACTTAATCCTTTCCTGTCTGATTTTGGATGCTGTGCCTGGGGACAAATTATATTTTGTTGTTGTTTTTGCTTGTTTGTCTGTCATCCTCAGTCCAGTGAATCCTCCTCTCTGACTTCGACCCAGATGCCATTTCCATTCTCAGAGTTTGACGTCCTTGGATGAAATCAGGAATGGCAAACAACTTTGAGAACTTTGTGCTCATATGGTTATAAATGTGCCTGCTGAACATTTTTGGTTTTGGTTCAGTTGTAAGCTGATATTGGTTTTGGAAATGAGAAAAGAAATCTCAAGGAGATGTCATCAAATAAAAACTAATTGCTCCACAAACATTAATTGACTGTCTTGTGTGCACCAGCCCCTATCCTAGCAGTAAGATGATGGATAGGAGTAACACAAGGCTCCTGCCTTTGGGGAGATTTCTGTTGTGTAGGGAACCTGGAGAAGGAAATCAGCAATTACCCTATGGTACTGTATTGTCCATGGTGGTTGGTGGTATGGAAAAACAGTTACTTCTGTCGGTAACTGTGAACACCAGGGCCTGATCTGATCTGTAGCTTCAAATTCCGGTTGTATCATTAATATCTTGTGTGGTACTGGGCCTGTAATTTCACCTCTGTGAGTCTCAGTATTCTCATCTGTAGAATGGGGATAGTTACAGCTCCAGTTTCAATTAGGAGGGTTAAATGAGTTACTGCATGTAAAACACTTAACCCAATGGTTAGCTCATCATCACTGTTCAGAAAATCTTGGCTGCTGTTTTTTTATCACCATCAGGTATATTCAAGGTGCTACAGAAGCACCTCACCTAACTGCAAAGTTTCACACGGGAGGTGATGTCTGAAAAAGATCTCTTTTTTAAAAAAATTAAATTACTTAATTAATTTCTGAGAGAGAGAGAGACAGCATGAGCAGGAGAGGGTCAGAGAGAGAGGGAGACACAGAATCTGAAACAGGTTCCAGGCTCTGAGCTGTCAGCAGAGAGCCCGACGCGGGGCTTGAACCCACGAACTGTGAGATAACGACCTGAGCTGAAGTCGGACGCTTCACTGACTGAGCCACCCAGACACCCCTGAAAAAGATCTTGAAGAATGAGCAGGAGTTTGCCAGAAGGGTAAAGGGGGGACATGCTAAGGAGAGGAAATGAGACTTGCAACTGCCGTACCAACGGGAAGCAGCCTGACACCTTTGGGAAGTACAGGTCCCAGAGGAGTCACATTTAATGAGTACCTCTTCTGCGGCAGCCATGTTTCTAGGTACTGGAGATTCAGTGGTGAAAACAGACCTGGTGTCTGCTGACATAGCACTTCTATTCTAGTGGGGAAGATGGTAAACAGATAAATGCAGACATTTACAAGACAGTTTTTGATAGTGATACATACTATTTGCATCTGTTCTTTTCTGGAGCCCATTGTAATAAAGTAGGGAGGCAGAGAGCTTCTTGAAGAGAAGAGCACCCCAAGCATTCCCTTATGTGAAGAGAGGAGTGTGTGGGAAGCAGCTGAATGGCAATGAGCTGGGAGTGGCAGGCGATGAGGTCAGGGAAGAAGGAAAGCACTAGATTATGAAGGACTTTCCAAGTGTTTCTGCCATTGACTGTAGGTTGATGACCGTTGAACTTCAGTCATCTACATATTTTGCCGTGTTTGTAGAAATTACAAACTTTCCGTGTAGTTATTTGTTTACAATGTCCATCTAAATAAGCTCACTTTTTGGCATCTAGTAAACAAATGCATTTATTTTCAAAAGGAAGTGTCACAGCACAGCCGCAAATGGAAGATCAGGATTACCTGTCGTGGAAGTGACAGTTGGGTTAAAGAAAAACACAACTGTGAAGAGAAATTCTTTATCTGTGTGCCATGTAAAACCATCTCGAGTGGTACCATTGGTTCGCTCCCTGCATGCCAGGTCAATGCTGATAAGGGTGGTGGAGAGTGTCAGAAAGTGGTGAACATGATCCTTGGTGGCTGATGGGCTAAACAAGGAGAGAGGGTCAGCAAAATGTTAGGATGCCGTTGTAGGTGGCGCAGGGGAAAAGGTGGTGGCCCAACGGAGGAAGTGGCTGGGGAGGAAGTACGATCGGCAGATACAAAAGATGCTTTGAGGTTGGATGAACAGACCATGGGCCCAGTCAAGTGGGGGGATGAAGGAGAGGGAGGCACCAAAGACGATGTCTGTATTTTGGGCTGAGCGGTCAGCAAGAAGTATTTTCATGTTTGTACACAGAGCTATATGAGCAAATATTACTGGCCTCTGGGCTGACAAATAAGCTTTGGAAATTAAAGGATATTCAACCTGGAGCCACTATCTCCCATTAAGGAGATATTAAAATCAACACTGTAGACCAGATGGGCCTACCAGACACATACAGAACATTCTGTCCACCAGCACTGAAACACACATGCTTCTCAAGCACACCTGGGACATTTTCCAGGATAAATCATACGTTAGGCCACAAAACATGTCTTAACAAATTTAAGAAGGGTTATCAAGTACCACCAAGATATCAAGATATCAAGTGTCTTTTCTGATCATGGTATGAAGCTAGAAATCAATAATGAGAGGAAAACTGGAACACTCACAAATACGTGGAAATTAACTCTTGAACAGCCAATGGGTCAAAGAAGAAATTAAAAGGGAAATCAGAGTTTCTTGAAATAAAGGAAAATGGAAACACAACATGCCAAAACTTATGGGATGCCAAAAAGCAGTTCTAAGAGGAAAGTTTATAGCAATAGATGTAGAGAAAAAAGGAAGAGCTCAAATGAACAACTTTATACCTCAAGGAACGAGAAAAAAGAGCAAACTAAGCTCAAAGTTAGCAGAAGGAAATAGTAAATATTCAAGCAGAAATAGTGACTAGAGAGACAATAGAAAGAAAATCAATGAAACCATGAGTTAGTTTTTTGACTATATACATGGGATTGAGAAATGATTAGCTAGACTGACAAGAAACAGGGAAAGGAGTAAATAAATGAAATTATCAACAAGAGAGGAGACATTACAATGGATGCCACAGAAACATAAAGGATTGGAAGGCACGTTGGACAACTCTATGACAGAAAATAGGACAATCTAGAAAAAAATGGAGAAATACCTAGAAACATTAAAACCTGCCAAGACTGAGTCATGAAGAGAGAGAAAATGTGAACAGGCCAATAACACGATGGAGATTTTAAAGAGTAATCAACAATCTCCCAACGAGAGACAGCCCAGGACCAGATGGGTTTGCTGGTGAATTCTGCCAAACATTTAAAGAACTAACGCCAATTCTTCTCAAACCCTCCCGAAAATTAAAAGAGGAGGGAACACTTTGAAACTCATTTGAGGAGGCTAGCATTACCCTGATAACAAAACCAGAGAAGGATACACAGCAAGCAAAACAAACAAACAAACAAACAAAAAACCCCCCTAAAACAATACCCCTGATGAATATAGACACAAAAATCCTCAACAAAACACTGGCAAACTGATGTAACAGCAAAATAGATTATCCCTGGGATGGGATTAGTGCGTTTGTAAAACCAACATTTATCGGAGCAGAAACAACCTAAGTGTCTGCTAATGGTTAAGTGAGAAGGAAGATGAGGTATATATACACAATAGGATATTACTCGGCCACAAAAAGGAAGAAATCCTGCCATTTGGAAGGACAACATGGAGAGGCCTTGAGCGCATCGAGCTAAGTGAAAATAATCAGGCAGGGAAGACAAATATTGTGTGATTTCTCTTACATGCGGAATCTGAGGAAGTCAATCACCCAGAAACAGAGAATAAACCAGGTTGTTGGAGTCCAGGGGTGGGGACGATGGAGCGATGTGGGTCAAGGAGGACAAGCTTCCAGTTACAAGACGGTGAAGCCCTGGAGATGTGACGTGTGGTGTGGGGACCGTAGTGAACAGCACCGTCTCGTGTGCTTGAAAGTTGCTAGGACAGGACATCCTAAACGTACTCACCACACACGCCTTTTTAATGCAGCTACGTGAGGGGACTAGTGCGTTAGCCGAGCTTATTGTGACACCCACTTCACGATGCGTGTGTGTATCTAACCACCATGTTGTATGCCTTAAATTTATACAATGTTCTATGTCAATCATATCTCAAAAAAGCTGGGAAAAAAAGTTTTCACCCCCAGGGCCAGACACTTGTATTTTGGGGTAGGGACTTCCCTCTTCCTATTTCTAAAGGAATTACTCATATTCCAGAGGATCGTAAGACATTGGGGAGCAGAAGTTCTCTCTCCGAGGGGAGGGGTCAGTGTGTAGCCTCTGTCTAAAAAGTCCTACTGGATTCATGATTGGGGGGCCCCCATCCTGCAGTACGGACCCCCCGACATACACAGTGACGTCTGCTTCTCCTCGGGTTCCTCGGGGCACTGGGCATGGGAATCTGGTTACTGCTCTCTAAGTAATAACTGTGAATTCTCCTTCAGAAACTCATGGCTGCTTCTAGGATAAAAATGAAAAACTCTAGATACGAAAAACTTTTTAGGGGGCAGGTGACAGGCCTCCCCTAACCCCTGTGGATATAGAACCTCACAGCATTGAGAGTGATTTCCTGTCATGATCTTGTCTGACCTTCTTGAAGGTCGGGAGCCCAGGGCCGGGACGAGGCTTTCTCTCCGACGGGGAAAGCGAGGCCGAAGGAGAAGGGTTTGCTTGGGGTCAGACGGCTGGCAAATAGCAGAGGTGGCCGCTTCCGCCCCCCAGGGGACATCTGGCAATGTCTGGAGACATTTCTGGTTGTCACAGCTCGGGGGAGGCTGCGTCCGGTAGCTGGCGGACAGACAGAGGACCAAGATGCCACCCAACATCCTGCAGGACAGCCACATGCAGCAGACGTCAGTGTCGCTGCCGTTGAGAAACCGCCTGCTCCTTTTTGCTTCAGTCCGAGCCTTTCTGTTCCTTTTCTGCAACTTCTCTTGAGCCCCCTCTTTTGTGCACCTCCTCTTCCAACTTGATTAAAAGTGAAAACCGACCTGCCAATCATGCCCTGCAGAAAGTACCTGCGGCTGTGAATGTAACCTTTTCAAGTTTTCTTTCGCATAGAAATAATCCCTGTCTTTATTATAATGTTCTGCCAGATAATGTCTAACTTAGTCCTAACTGAGAGCATTATATTTGTATGTGTTTTCTCCAGGAGCCTATTATAATAAAAGAAAAAGGCTGCAAAGCCCCCTGGGTAAAGCAGCAGGCCGGCCCTCGAGGCCTCGGAGGCTACAGAGGTGGAAAGGTGTGCCTCTCACCACCCCCCTGCTGCCTCGCCCAGGGCGCTTTGTCACGTGGAACTTGATGGATTTCCCCAGTGTCTTTCCCAAGAGCATCCCAGCT